AGTTATTAGTCAGTGTCACATACTATATTAATATTGATTTTTTTATAATAATAAAGTACTAACACAAATTCAAAAGGCAAAATAAAAAAAAGAAAAAGATACTTTAACATCAAGATCCAATTCATCTACACAAATAAAATCAAATAAAACAAATAATAAAAAACAAAAACAAAGAAAAAAACAAAGATAGCATTGTTTAACTTATACAAGAATATAAAAATTATATAGTACTACTAAATAAACTAGTCTAAACCCTATGCTAGCTATTTATATTTATATTCAGAATATAAAAATTTTATTAAAATCATCTGTTTTTGTATAAAAATCTAAGTTTAAAATTTTTTTTATATTCTTATTAAAACTTTTGCAATACTAATTAACTATAATTCTTTTTGTTTTAGGCTCATATAACCAACTGAGTTAGAACATTGTTGTCTATAAACTTTTGGAGTAAAAGATTGGTTGTATATTATTTTAAAAGTAAACATATATATATATATGTTTTCTTTTTTCAGCAATAATTATTAATATAGATTTTTTACTTTTTAATGAAATTTTATAAAGTGTAGTAAGTGGGGTATTAAAGAGGTTTTTGTTGTAGCTATCTTTAAACTTTGATAAAGAATATATTAAAAACTTCTTTGTTGTTTTTTTTTTTTAGACTAATTATTTTTATTTTGTCAATAGAAGCTATGTTTTATTAAAATTTTTTGTACAAAAGCACTATTTTCTTGCTAGTTATCTTGTACAAAAATATTTTAACTTGTTTGTTGAATATACAGAAAAGTTCAAAAAGCAAACAGATCATAAAAACTTTAACCTCTATAAAAACTATTACTTGTATAGTCTCTTTTACTTTTGTTTTTATTAGTTATAAGTTTAGTACAGGTAATTGTTAAAGAAAATTGTATTGTATAAAAAATATATACTTAGTATTATTTATATTATTATTACTGTATTATTATTATTTAATTTTAAGGTGAGGCCTTACTTGTATCTTTATTATCAACCAATTAAATTTATTATTCTAGACTATTAAAGTTATGTTTATTATATAATAATAGTTATATTATGATTTTATTAGTGTTTTTTAATTGCAACTCTCTCTAAATACACACTCTAAAGCTGATTCTGATAATATATATTTAAGGATGATTAACTATATATCTATTATTTATTGTTGCAGCTACTATAAACTGCCGTATAAAAGACCCGGGTCTCTTACATTCTACCAAAAAAATTAATTAGTAAAAAAAAGAAAATAATTAGTAAAAAATAAGGGTGGGTCTGATATATGAAGGATCTTGTATACGGCAGTTTATAGTAATATTAAAAATAGCTGAAACTGAATTTTGGTCTTGATTTAAAATATAAGTTTTGCTAAAATATATATATGAGGAAAATCAATAAAAAAGAAACAAAATTTTCTAAGTAAAAGTTTTCTTAACTTTAAACTTAAATATCTCAACAACTATCTAATCAAATTTAATAATTTTTTAATTTAATTTTATATAATTTTAAGATTAGGGGTGTGTCATTTATCATGTAATTCTTTTTAACTAAGTGCCTTACCTATCCATGTATGGTGTGATCATATAATCAAAAATCCGAACCAAATCTGGGTTCAGAACCAATAAAATCACAGATATTTTATAAATAAAATTTTAAAAATTCAAGATTGAAATACATTAAAATTCTAGTAACTGGACCAGAATTAATTTATCTTATCCAAGATTACTAAAAATTTATTATAAAACCATATTCCATTCATTAAATAAAATGCCTAACTAATAATTTTGATATAGGTTTTATTGGTTAACAATACCAGCCCAGCATCAATACATTAATTTTGAAAATTGTTTTGTAAAAAATAATTTGATCAAACGTAAAGAAATTTTCAAATTTCAAACCAGAATACAACAAATTCTAGTTGTATCAAATGTAAAACGTTCTCGAGCACTTCACTAAATCTAAGGCAAAATTTTAATCAGTCTGAATTAAATAAACCAACCCATTTTGATGAATATAATCTGAAGTGCAAACTATCTTTTTTTTCATGAAGTTGCTCTGGATAACATTTAGAATCTGCATTTCGTCTAAGATCAGTAACGTCCATATATAACTGATCATGGTGGTTATGCTAGATTTGTGGATTACCCGCATTAACACTTAACTGCAATGATTTGAGTAACACTCCAATCACTAGTTAATTACACTGTGGAAGTTGCTTGAGAATATCCTTAATCAACTTTGCCCAAATCACATAATTTTACTACAAAATCATAACCCATTCATTAGATAAAAATGCGCAGCTGATAATTTGCTATATGCTTGGTTTGCTAGTACTGCTTAATGCCAACTGAGCTTTAATGAATCAATCCGGAATTTGATATTATTACTATAAAGGTTGTTAGTACAAAAAAATCTACAATTCTCTGGGATGGTACATATGAGTGCCATCAAGGGAAAACCTATCATTAGACTTCCAATGTTCAGTTTGTTTTCTAAATGCTGTTTACAGAAAATCTATCATCAGCTTTCAATAACATTTTGACAAAATACAATTTAAAGGTTTTCTTTAAATGTACTTAGAAAACAAACTGAACATTGAAAGCCCAATGATAGGTTTTTCTTTGGCACCACTCATATCTACTCCTGTTAAGAACAATGTGCATTTGGCTTTAACTTAATTGGTATTTTTGATCGCACAATAGATATAGACTACCATTCGCTCATATTGAAATACTTGTATATGATAGTTCACAGGAAGTCTGTAAGCAATTCTGATTAGGAAGTGACCCGTACTATAACGTCTATAATTACAAGAACCTAGTTCTGTAAAATGGCTATCTGAATTATCCAGATATTAAGGATTGTCTAGGAACGTTATCGGCACATTCAATTAATCAGTCCTTATAATAGCTAAATATTCAGCTGATGATCTGATGATATTCCTATTTTCGTCAATCTTCATATAAAAAAACCCATAATCAAACTGAAACAATGTCAAAGATAACAATTTCTACAAGTGAAGAAAAAAGAATACGCCTAATACAGTTAGACGAATTAGTAATTAAAAAGAAAAAAAAAATTATAATAATAAAGAAAACAACTCTATTAGGATGGTAAAAAAAATTTACAATATGACTAAAAGATGATACCATTGACCTGGTGATGGGTAGGCGCACATAAGGATGTATGTTCATACATATATATGCACGCCATTGTCTATAAACTTAATAGTACATTTTAGTACCATGTTTCAACTTTTTTTGGTCACCTAATAAAATTAAACAAATTGACAATTCTACTGATCAAGGAATGCAGATCGAAGAAAAATGGTAATTCCTAAATTTGAATTGATAAGGCTTGAAATATCGCAATTCAGACAAGTCTTTGTAGTCATTATAATCTGTCGTAATCTTTGTGTATCAAAAGAACCGTATTTATTTGTAATAAATAAAGGCTTCAATCTCTATATAAAATCAATTAGGGATCTTTGAATTCAAACCATCTCAAATAAAACGAAATCTACAAAGTTATATAAATTATATTTTTCTTTCACCATAAAAAAAAAAATGCAGAGTTTTTTTAAAACTTTCTAATTTTGATACGCACTTATTCTATAAGTCTCCATCTGATTTGTACCAAGAATTCGCCAATGCTTATGCATATTATAAGCAGACAACCCTTTGTAACCCTACCCGCAATAAACAAAAATTGTTAAATGAAGCCTGAATATCATGGAAAGAAATAAAAAATGAAAATGAAACTGTCATTCATGAAAAGATCCGATCATACTTAACAATGGTCCCTAGTGCAATTCGCACACATCATAATTTTATAGTAAACACTAACTCCAACTCCAACAGAACATCTACATCCACATTGGCTTCGTCCTTATCCACTTCATCAGTAATTTCACCACGACCGTTTGATAATACCGATACTATTGCGAAAAATACAGTAGGTCAGAAAAATGCAATAGCCAAAATCAAGGAAGCAACTCAACAAATATCTGAATGTGAACAAGCAATTAAGCTTATCAGTGATCAAAATATAAAAAAAGAATTATTAGCCAAAATTGAAAAGAGCCAAATAGTTATTAAAGTAAATAAAAAAAGGCTAGAAAAACTTAAACGTCATGCAAAAGCTCAAGCTAAACTTAGGACAAAAAAACAAAAACAACTCGATAATGAAAGTATCATTATACAGTATGACAAACCTGAATGACCACTAGCAGCTATACTAAATCCAGATCTTTGGGACAATATCTATAATTGTATAGAATTCGGACTTACTTATGCTAAAAGACGAAAGACAATAATTAAAGTTTGTACTATTAAACATTTGCGTGAAGCATTAGAAGAAAGATATACTATCTATCTCTCGCGCCAATATCTGTCTACATATTTGGAACCTCGACACAAACACACATTCGCAGCCCACTACTACCACCATCCTGCAAAAGTCAGTCTAGCATCAGTAGCAAGAACCGATATGAGACAACATATCGATGAACACTATTGTTTGGCGTCTGTTAACGCAGCACGAGTTTTTGTGGAGGTATTTGCAAGTGATACTGTTGTCATTTCTCAAGATGACAAAGCAAAAATCGGTTTAGGTATTTCTGTAGTCAGCTGTACGCTTAAGGCTATGCAATCGATAAATAAACTAGTTACTATTGAAGATCATAATTTTTCTAAAGGAAGTAAAATGAAACTTATACCTTCTGTATACTTTCTTATTGACTCTAATGATTCAAATACTATGCTTCGCTCTGGACAACTTGCTATCTTTATCAGGCCTGAATATTTCATAGGCACATCTTCGTCTACGCATATGACTGATCTATTAAGCCTTGTTAACAATCAAGATTTTACCACCGTTTTATTGAAAGAAAATGAAGTTAGACCGATTTGGGTTCTTCTCGTCGATGGGAGACCCGATGAGAATCCAAAACACTTTAAAAATATTATTGAATACTGTAACTTATTCCAGGCTCTAGATCTTGATTATTTAACTGTTCGCATGCATGCGCCATATCAAAGTGCTTATAATCCTGTGAAAAGGAGTATGGCTTCTTTATCAGAAAAACTTACCAGTATTACTCTACCTATAGATGAATATGGTTTGCATCTGGATTCTCAAGGAAATGTTGTAGATGAAGAGTTAGCGTGGCGTAACTTTGAATTTTCAGGAAATAGATTATGTGAACTTTGAAGTAGAGATGATATATATGGTAAACCCATAACAGTACACTATGTCGATCAAATTTTGTCAACTATTTAGTGATATTGTATCCCAACATGGGAATGAATTGAGCGTCATGCACAGTTATATCGATATTCATTGGATCTAAAAAAATATAAGAATTGTCAATGTTGTCATGAATACAGAGCTCCTGATGCTGCACTTTTACTGGACCAAAATGATAGATTTCTTCCCTCAATCACCAAAGAAAAAAATGAACATTTTATCGATCCAATACACGCCCTCCAATACTTTGACAAATTAAAGATTCCGCCATATGATAGTTCATTCCCATCAATTTCGAAAGAAACGTACCAGAGTTTATGTTGCAGCAAGTGTGGTAAGTATTTCCCTACCTTAAGGTTTATTGCGAATCACAAGCGTCAGCAACATCCATCCAAACGTGGTCGACCTCGAAAGCAAGTTGATGAGACCTCACTAGCTGCTGCTTCATCAAACTTTAGAGCTGCCGAAGATATAGTTGACTGTGATTTGTCAGATTATGAGATTCCAAATTTACACAATGTATAATCTGATAATGAATGGAAATTAATAGATGTTAGAATCTATAATTAATATTAGTTTATTTAGTTAAAATTGTCAAGTGTAGTTTTTAAACGTATAAAAAAAATAAATAAGCCTGTTGGCTAACAATCTACATAACCTTTGACTTTATGATCTGTAACTTCATACGAGTATGTTTATACGTATATACGTACATTTAATTTTTTATCTGACCAATAAAATTTTGTACTACAGTACAAACCGTAGTTCGTAATATTGGCTCGGCTGCTTATTATATATAGACGTAATCACCAGCAGACCCCATGTACTCATGGTAAAAATTAGATAATAAATGACATACCCCTTAAAATAAAAAATTTTTTTTAAATTTAATTTCTTATATATTTGTCAATTATCAATTTTAACTTTAAACACTAACTTAATTATAAAAAAAATAAAAAAAAATACTTTAAAAAATTTTACAAATTCATATTAAAATAAATTTGAATTTCAGTATTAGCTATTTATAATATCAGCTGCAACATTATTTTATTTTTTATTTTTTATTTTTTTTATATATTAAGATAAGATCATATCTCTGATTTTTATTAATATATACTTTGTAAATTAAATAGTTCTATATATATTAACTTATAGACAACATAGACTTAAACTAATTTATCTATAATTTAAACCTACTAGAGTAGTCTATGTCTCACATATGTATTACTTAGTTTATGCTTCTTAACTAGCTATCTCTAGTAACTACTATATTCCCTATATTTCATTATTTTCAGTCATAACTAAAGTTCCTCAAAATTAAATTAAATTAAATATTAGGCTTATTTGAATTTAATTTGATTTAAAAATCTGAATTTAAATTTGATTTAATTTAAAAAATCTGAATTTGAATTTGATTTGATTATTTGATTTTAAATTTTCAAATCAAATTAATGTTTTGGCTATTTATAAAATCTTTGATTTTCTTAAAATTTTATTAAGTAAATCAATTTTATATATTAAATAAAAATGTTCTTCTAATCAAAATAGTTTTAGTTTTATAGAACCAAATTAGTGATTGCCTTAATAAAATTTTGAGTAAATAGACTCTGAAAATATAACTCCTTAAATTTTAGCCATTTATAAATATCTTCGATTTTCTTAAAATTTTATTAAGCCAATCAATCTTGTATATTAAATAAAAATATTCTTCTAATTAAAATAGCTCTAGTTTCATAAGAACATATCTCTATCTTTATTAAAATTTAATTTAACTCTCTTACAAAGCAAAAAATATACAGCTTTCTTACAAAGAAAAGAGAATATGATTTTTATATAAAGAAAAGAATATATTTAAACTTCATATTCTAAGATAGCAAGAAAAAAAACTCAGATTAATTTATCTTCAATCTAAACCAAAATAGTCCTAATTTCATAAAACTAAACTAGCAATCATCTTAATAAAATTTTGAAAAAATAATCTCTGAAACTATAACTTTTCAAATTTTAGCCATTTATTAATATCTTCGATTATACTAAAGAACTGCTTTACAAATTATACCAAAATTAGAAATTATATATTGTATAACAGTACTATTAATGAAATTTACAGAAATACTATCATAAAGGGTCATATAAAAGATCTCTCTATATATTAGATCTTCTATGAATTAGATCCAGATGTGAATTATAAGAACCATATTAATCAAGTTTGATTTTTTCAAATATCTAAACTAACTGCTATAAATGCAAAATGTGCATACTTTTTAAAGTTTTTTTATTAATTATATAAACTCTTAGCTGTATACTAGATTCAGATCTATTGTAGGTTTTAAAATTATAAGAGACCTGGGTCTTATATATGACCTTTTATAATAATACAAAACATATAAAGATACTAATACAAAACTTATAGTAATACTAATATAAAATCTGTAAATATACTAAGATAAACCTACAGTATACAGGACCCCGAAATACATACTGAGAGATAGAGGTTGAAACCAGTTTTAATAATTCAGGTTTATTACGTGAATTTTGTGATAATTTAGAATTTATTAAATTTTAATTAGATTAAATTTTAAAATATCACTAAATTTATATGATAAATCTGAATTATTAAAACCAGTTTCAACCTTTACTAAGAGGTAAGGTTTTGTAAAAATTACAAATATAGAAGGATCTGTAAAAAAAATGTGCAAAAATAAACAAACTAATTACTAAAATAGAAATAATCTGTACAAAAAAGGTCAAAAATAAGCAAACTCTAATCTGACCTATCTATATATATTTCAGAGTTCTGGCATATTAACAACAAAATCCTACAATTATACTGAAAATTTGTAATAATACCAACACAAAAGTTATAACACTAACAAGTTATAAAGATATTAAGAAATCAATAATACAACAATACATTAAATTCTTTCTGACAATAACTTGGTCAACAACAATCTATCGAACTACAGTCAATGATATAGAAAAACAATATAGTAAACACAACAATATTTCTGGTTTTGCACTAAGCAAACTTGTTGTTGATGAATCCTACAATATGTAAAATACCGAAGAGCAGGCATATAAAAATATTAGGTAGGTTTGTACCTTGAGTCAAGTTTTCTTTTTTTCAATAGACTCTCTAGCATATTCAGTAAACTAGAAGGTTTATTCTAGAAACAAATACAGAAATAAAGCAAGAGTCTCTGAGCAGAAATCTTAAGTAGATACTAGAAAACTGAATTATACAACTGTAAAACTTACAAGAAGAACCTTAAATATTCTTATTGACCTTCACTTTTTTTTTGAGGAAAATTTTGTAAAAAGTAGATGATTTAACTTACTCCTTCAAAAGATTGATATATTGTTTATTTATCAAATTGGTTGTATTGTTTATGTTTTTACTTGTTACAACAAACATGTAAATACATATAGAACTGGACATATAGATTATATGCTTCGAATATGACAACCTGAACAAACAATAACTCAAGATCTCTGATGTAAATTTTTGACTTTTCTGATTTTTCTATAATGCTGACGTCGAAGAAGCTATTTTTTTTACCTTATCACAGAGTTTTTTTCTTATATTAGATATATTACTATGTATATAGATTAGAATAGAGACTAGTTTAAATAGTAGTATATAATTTTTATAAAGCCTGACACAGGCTTATAATTGTAACTGTCTAGTATAGATAAAAAATTCTGTATTTAGTTTAATCTTTTTTTTTCATTTTCCCTTTACTTTATTTATTTCTTATTTTAACGTATTCCTCTATATCTCTGTGTTTTTTTAAAAATTTTTTCTTTTTTTTTTTTACTTCTCTATGAGAAGATGTTATCAGATTGACGATATTCTATTGTAGAATAGTGGTCGAATAAGCCCTCCAGTTAGGGTATTATTTTATATTTCACTAGTATGGTGGGTCGTCTATAGGCACTTGAGTAAGCAGTAGCCATATAATGTCAGAACTGTAGTTTTATTATTTTAAATCTTTTATAAGGTAATGATTTAAATAAACATAGATTATTAGTGTAATCTTGTCTAAGTGAAAAAAAATAATAATAATAATGCAATAATAGCAAAATTAATAGTAACATCAATAATAGAATCTAAGAAGTATCAATGCCAAAATTTAATAAATAATAACTCTAGTAAATAATAGCTTTAACAAACAATAACTCTAGTAAACAAAATCTTCTAAAATAATAAATTTAGCAAAATAATAGCACCAAAAACAATAATATAACTTATTGCTTAGTAAAAAGAAAAATAAAAATAAATTAAAACTTATATATATATATATAAATATCAATCTGTGATAAAAATTATCAATTTGTATAAAATTTTATATAAATTAAAGATGGGTATTATATATAATATATCTAAAAGTGCTAATAGCAAGTTTTCAAGAAAATATATTATTTTTAAATTTATTAAATTAAACTAATATTTGACTTAATATCTATTAGCAAGTCAAAAAAGAAAACTTTAAATTTAAAAAAAAATCCAAAACCAAAATTTTTAACTTGGATTCAATTCAGTTTTGATCATTGGGCCTAAATTTTAAATTAGAATAAACGAAAGCTAAACTTTCAAAAATTCAGCAGAAGGGTGTGGTGACTTAGTGAAGTTGTTAAGTTGTTATACCTCCAAGCAGCAGGACTAGAGTTCGAATCCCACTAGCAACAAAAATTTGAATTTATAGAAAATGCATTTGGGAGACTGTATTCTATTGAATTATAGAACCTGTAATGGTGGTCGTACCAGCTTGTATTGGGAGGTAATAAAACATGTAGTGCGATATATGGGTTACACAAAATCTGGATAAAGCTATCAGATAAATTCAGTGAATTTACAGGATATAAGAGCCTGCTTGGCAAGACCTGAGTAGAAAGATAGCACAGATCTTTGACAGTTACTATATAAAGAATAATCAACCAGATACCGGAAAACCAGACAGGACTGAGGTGTTTGGCAAGGCACTATAGCTAGTACTATACCAACCAGACCATCAGATAACCAGAGGAAGGGTTCTGCCCTTCTGGGCCATCGGATAAGAGTTTGGGTTTTCAGAAGTATGGGAGAAAGTCCGTAAAGTAGGTATCAGGATTTGAATAAACTCTACAATGGCAAAAGTAGGTAACTGTAGTAGCCTTGGCTCGCAAGTACTTGTCCTCAGACTTGGCGTAAGTTACCGAAAAGGCCTAGTCTGGAAATATGTAGGATATAGAAAGATTAGGAGTGTATATACTACATCTTCCCTAGTGTAATCCGGTAAGTATAAGAACTTTACTGGGGTATCTACCGAATTAGGGTACAAGTAGTATAGTATATATCGATCTGGGTGGTTTTCAATAAAGCAGCATGAGGTTATAGGTTGATATAATTAAAGTAGTGATGCAGAATAGAAGACACCAGAGAGTTTAATTGGATAGCTCAAGTAATAGTGGGTTATAGGCATGGTATCTAGTGTAGACCCTAGTAATAGGTAGCTACTTAATTAAGCGCTCAAAAGATGCAGGTA